GAATTACATTGTTCTGAAAAATAAGCTAAATGCTTATTTATCTGCATCACTGTCAATACTTCAATTTTTATAACAACCCTTTGAGGTAGGAACTCTTGTTATTTCCATTGAACAGATCGGGAAATAGCCTTAGCACTTTTAAAGAATGTCCCCCTAAATAAATATCAATACATTTCCAGTGAGAGTCCACAGCCAAAGAAGGAGCCCTGGTCACTCCAAAGGCCACTTAGTGTGAGAGAGGCTTCTGTGCAATGGTGTAAGGACCCGCTTGTAACCTCTCGGAGTGTGACCCATGTTGTCGGTAACGAAAATGGAGGAAAGTGTGGGGCATAAGTACCCACTTCAGAAGATGATGCTGGTTTGCTTGAATATTAAAAATAGTCCTGGAAGGTAGGATTTTGTACTACCTTTTCCTGATTTCTATTAAGTTCCTCCTGGAAAAGAATTGCTCATTCCCCTGTGAGGGTAGGTTGAACCCAAGGGACAGAGAGGACAGGAAGGAGTTGCCACTCTTGGGACTTGGTTTTTACTTATTATATATCATGTCTTCTTCCTTCTTTTTTTAAAATTGAAATATGATTTACAATGTTGTGTTAATTTCAGGTGTACAGCAAAGTGATATATATATATATATATATGTATATACTTTTTCAGATTCTTTTGCATTATAGGTTATTACAAGATACTGAATATAGTCCCCTGTGCTATACAGTAGGTCCCTATTGTTTACCTATTTTATACATAGTAGTGCGTATACATTAAGCCCATACTCCTAATTTATCCCTCCCCCACCTTTACCCTTTGGTAACCATAAGTTTGTTTTCTATATCTGTGAGTCTATTTCTGTTTTGTAAATAAGTTCATTTGTATAATTTTCTTAGATTCCACATGTAAGTGATATCATATGATACTTGTCTTTCTCTGTCTGACTTACTTCACTTAGTATGATAATCTCTAGGTTCATCCATGTTGCTGTAGACGGTATTATGTCATTCTTTTTTATGGCTGAGCAATATTCCATTGTGCATATGTACCACATCTTCTTTATCCATTCATCTGTCGGTGGACATTTAGGGTGCTTCCATGTTTTGGCTATTGTAAAGAGTGCTGCTATGAACATTGGAGTGCATATATCTTTTCGAATTAGAGTTTTTATCTTTTTCTGGATACATGCCCAGGAGAGAGATTGCAGGATCATATGGTAGCTCTATTTTTAGCTTTTTAAGGAACCTCCATGCTGTTCTCCATAGTGGCTGTACCAATTTACATTTCCACCAACAGTGTAGGATGCTTCCCTTTTCTCCACACCTTCTTCTTTTTCCTTCTTAATGAAAAGTTTTCACCTTCCTCTTTTTAAATTTTGACCAACATTCCTCTTTAGATTTTGAGTCTTATGCCTCACTCAGACTTTGGCATGAGCGTGTGGGGTGTGTGTGTGTGTGTGTGTGTGTTATTTTCATCAAAATGTGAAAGAACTTTTATAAAGTAAACCATGAAACAAGTTAATGTCTTTCTTCCCCGTATGGGCGTATCAGTGTGTGTGTCTCTGAGTGATTAAAGCCCACTCCCCTAATAACTTAACCAGTTTGTTTTAGCTGCAATAAAGAGGGATTGAGAACAGTGTGGGACGCCCATGCTCAGGAGAGAGGAAGGAGAGTACACACTTGCGGGAAGGGTGTGAGGATGAACAGGCAGTAAGTGGATCACTTGACCATCTGTAACAGATAGAGAGTAGATGCCTGCGGCTGCTCATTCCCAGCCTTTCCCCTTCTCAGGCTACTGAGAGATGGGAGTCTGGGAACACAACTCACTAAGCCGAGGTGGTGACGGTCCATAACACAAATTTCTCCACGTGGTTTTTATGATTGTCTCACTCAGTCCTGCATGCTAGCTCTCAGAGGCACAGGAAGAGAATAGGAAGGACTCTTAGCCATAAGCCTGTGTAGCCCCCTCACTTTACAGAAGAGACCCTGGGAAAGGTTAAAGAGCAGGGCCAGTGTCACACAGCTAGTCAGGGCCAGGACCACATTTCAAAGTCCTTAAGTTCTAGTCTATAACCTTGGGGTGTACTGGACAGAATTACTGTAAGAGGTCCAGGGTCTTGGCCTTTTTCCTTAACATAGGTTGGCGTACGCAGCACTTACTCCTGAATGAGAGTATGCACTATTCTAATTATATGGTAACTAAGCTCATTACTAGGTGATCCATACAGATGATTTGGGGCTGGAAGTATCATCTCCCTGGAATCAAAAGTATAACTGTCAGTAAATATGTTCAAAGGCTTATGCCTTTCGTTAAAATTTAAGTGCCATGTGGTTAAATCTATATTCTCCTGCTTTGGGGATGTGTGTTAAGGGTGCTGTGGTCGAGAACTCTGGCCAATTGTCCTTGGTATGGAGGAGATTTGCTGGCAGGGCTGAGGATTTGCATGTTTATGCTTTTTCCTCCTCTTATAAACAACCAGGTTTATTGAAAGGAGACTGTGAATATTTTTAGATTTGGAAAAATCTCATTTGGACTTGAGGCAGAGACTTCTAGAGGTTGATAAGAAGCCTACTATTACCATGACCACGCTCATATCCACTTTGAGTGCCCTAAGGCCACACTCCCAGCCTATGTCTTTGACACATGCTACTTTTGCTAGCCCTTCTTCTGGAACCTTATTTCTGTTCAGCTCTAGTTCCTTTCTCTGCTGCTGGAGGAGATCCCAAGAAAACTTGTCTTGGACTTACCATAGGATGAGTAGGTATTTGACATTTGCTCGGGGGCAAGAATATGGATAGAAAATAACTATTGATTGGGAGGCTTTTTGGTCTTTGGTAGTATTTCATGCATTGCGCTCCGAGTAATTCAGTATTCCAGATGTCAAAAAGTATTGTACCCCAAACAGGTTCTGTGTTCAAATAAATTTGGGGCACAAAGGATTAAACAAAATTGCTGCAGGACTTTTCAGAACCTTTAACAAAACAGTTCTCAGGTACAATGTGAATCTTCCAGAGAACGTATGGCATGCTACCTTTCTTTCTTCAAGCATATTTAACCACTGATACTACTTTTTTTTGCAAAGTATCACCCAGGACCAGAGTTTATGAACACAATTTGGGAAAAACTACTCAGCGTAGATACTCAGAACTTATAGGCAAGTTGTAGCCTTTCAAAGTTTGATTCTGGCAAATTGGTATAAGCAATTTGGAGAGAACAAAAACGTGTTCTGTTAGAATCCTCATTGATGTGAAGGTCGATACTGCTGTTGGAGAACTGAGAGCATAATGGTGTATAACTTTGATGATAATTATTACTGAAACTGGATATGTCACCATGAAGTGGAAGGCATCTTGAAAGATGGAAATATTTCGTTTTACCAGGTTTATTCAAATACTGGACACCCTGGATGTTTTTGAAATAGATCTGTTTTCAAACTAATTTTTACCTAATAGGTTGATATAATAATGATGCACAAATGTATAAAATTATACAGAATATATTTTTATAAATGGAAAAAATAATGTTGAATGTTTACTGGAAGTAATAGAAATGATAAACAAGGAAGATGAGGTCTAGCTTTGTTTTAGATATGAAAGTAGACAATATATCTCAGGACAAGTCTAAGCATGGCTTGGTTAATGTCAGCATGTCTGGGCAGACTAGAATAAACTAGAACTTGGATTCAGAAACTGCCCTTTGCAATAAGGTAGTCCCTAATAAGGCAGATTGAGCTGCCCATTACAGAAACCAATGGGTGTGGCACCAGATACCCTGGTGACTGTATCCTGCCCATAAAACCATGTACGTAGTTGTCTATAGGGTATTGTATAGGGTTCAGGAATGGGACATATTGAATGTGATCTGGCAAAAGAAAGGCAGGGCTATTCTTCTGGGGGGCCCGCTATACTCAGCAGACTACTGATACAGGGAGGACTTAGGTAGGAGGAATGAAGCAAGTCTGGGGAACTGGGATTGGATCTGGGACACAAGGGCAGGATCAGCCTGGAAATATAGCTAGGATGACTCTGGACACCAGAGGGTTGGTCCAGAGCTGTTGACATTCCCTGTTCCAGGTACTGGAGGTGAAGATGGGTCTGATCCTGACAATGTTTAGGGGTGGAGAAGGAGAGTCTTCAATGGGGAGAGGAGAGAAGCAGGGATTGGGAACTAGACAGATAGGAGTTGGGACACTCAGAGATCCTTAGCCTTTTCTTTTGTAATATACAGTGATACCACTAGGTCTTTCATCTAAGCCCAGATTGGATGCAATGGATGGAACTCTTCTCTGAAGCACCTCCCTTGGTGTTCTCAGGGAGATTTGGGAGGAATGAGAGTGGAGCAAATTCCTGTAGTGCCCATGACATTCAGAATTTCATGGTAGTTCAGTTGGACTTGTCTTTTGTCGCAATGGTTGTTAGCTCCTTGAGATTAGGGGTCATAAAATCAGAAGCAGCATGTACAGCTGTCATTTACTAAACTGCTTCAATGTGCCAAATGCTTTAAAAAAAGGAGCGCTCTCATCTCCACTTTACCGACAACAAAACTGAGCTTCTAGAAGGTCAGATAGCTGTTCAAGTCCTCAGAGAATCGCATGTGCTTTCACTTAGACCAATGGCTCTCAACCTGGGAAGTTTTAAAAAATACTGAGGCATGTACCCCATCCTCAACTATTTGGATTCATTTCACTGGGGCTGGCATTTGGACGTCTGTATTTTTCAACAAGTGATTTTAATGCACAGCCAGGGCTGAGAATCCTGGCCCTCTATAATGTCACCTTGTCTGTATTGTTATCCCTGGCATTTAATACAGCACTCACCCAAGACAGAGGTTAAAGACATGTTTGCTGATTGGTTCAGAAGGTATTTGTGGCCAGAGGGAAGACCAGGGACTGAATGCCACTAGAAGTTACAAAGCATCCCCTTAGAGGCTGGAATTGAACATTCAATGTTTATCAGCAGACAGAGGGTGGCTCTTCACTACATGCTTAGAGATGTTTTGCAAACCTTCCATTACAGGTGGTGTTGTCCTCAACCCAGCCTATTATGGCATGCCTGGCCACACCAACATCATGATCCATGAGGTGGGGCATGTCCTGGGACTCTACCATGTCTTCAAAGGGGTCAGTGAAAGAGAATCCTGTGACGACCCCTGCAGGGAGACGGTGCCGTCCATGGATACAGGAGACCTCTGTGCCGACACTGCCCCCACTCCCAAGAGTAAGCTGTGCCAGGACCCAGAGCCTATCAATGACACCTGTGGCTTCACCCACTTCCCAGGGGCTCCATTCAGCAACTACATGAGTTATACAGGTATCACAACAGTCCTGATGTCTTTGTTTTTATTAAGATTACATGGGAGCCTTTTGGGGCCGGGAGGGTGGAGGTATGGGAATTAGAGAGGATTATCAAGCAGTCATTCATGCCAGAGAGTTGAAGTGTATTTGTCATGGCATATTCTTTTTTTTTTTTTTCATGTCTTTGAAGAACTTAAAGAAATATTGAAATATTAAGGGGTCTCATTGACTAGATTCTCCTCCACTAAAAATTAAAAGATAAGCGTATTTCTATCTCAGTTAAAAAGAGGGAAAAAGCCAAAAGCTCTCTTGAGAGCCCTTTCACCTCTAGAACTTGGTTATATTGCTTCTTTCCCATATTCGTAGGGATTTACTCTGAAGGAGAGTCCAAAGGTGATGGAGAAAGAGGTTTCTGTTTCAAAGTGGCTCTTTGTACTATTTCTGAAGTTGGTCAAGAAGATGGCCCTGGTTAATTTTAAGCTCAGAGTTCCTTTTTCTGTTATGTCATTTTTTAAAGTATCAGATTCTCTTCTTCCAGCACTAGACAAGGGCTGATTCTTAGCTTGCCTACAGAACATGGTGCTGTTTCATTTAAAAAATGGTACTTTCTTGGTCCTGGTTTTGTTGTCTTGGATTATGCTTCTTCTTTGTCCTTTCACACCTCCCTTGTTTCTGTCAAAAAGTAATACTACTTATCATCTCCTGATAATGGACTTAAATTTATCCCTGAAATTAAGGACTGATGTGATTTGATGACTTATTCCAGTGGTGAAGGAAGGAAGTAATTTTTCTATAACATCCAGGGGCTTCTTGGTGATAAGTTCTAGATAACTATCCAAAAAAAAATAAAGAAAGAAAGAAAAGGTAACAGACAGATGCTGACCATGCTTTTGCAGGGAAGAAAAAGTGCTGAGCTGGTCCTGTCGGTGACCCATCAATATATTCCTATCTAAGTCTCATCTTGGTGCATGATTCAGGTACATCAAATTCATAAGGACCAGCATCCTTGCCTCTCCCAACAAGCACACAGTGGCCCTTGCCAGGGCAGAGAGACCAGACAGTGGGGTGCGGAGGGCAGAGCTATTTAGGTACCACCTTTGAAGTGGACAGAGGAAACATCTAAGAAGCCGAGGGGAGTGTTTCACTGGTGGGCCTTCATGGAAGAAGGCCTGGAAGCTAAGATAACTCCTTTTCTAACCCTATGAAAAGTGTACCTAATAGGAAATTTTACCAGCTCTAAAAGGAAGTTGAGGATCACCATTCCCAGTCCTGCTGCCTGCTTGACTTTTTGGCTTTCTCTCCTCTTGAGCACCTCCATGAATACTCACTAACCTGGGCCAAAGTCATTGGGCATAAAGCAGGTGTCTGCAACTCCACACATGTTCACGAATTAAAAGGCCATATGCTGAAACACTGCCATCTTGTGGTTTCCTGAATAAGCAATGTCAGCCCAGAGCAACCCTGAACCCCAGGGCGTGAGTCTCACTCTGGCCAACATCAAGGTAAACACCAAGCCCAACTTACTTTAGAGACAAGCCAGTGCTCTTCTCTGCCTTCTCTTTCCCACCTCCAGCCTAGATATTTCCTGGCAAAATCTATCCCTACCTTGGTGGACATTGCAGGTTAAAACCTCCATCTCTCTTGTTCCCTTTTTTGTCTCTGCAGATGACGACTGCACTGACAGCTTCACCCCTAACCAAGTGGCCCGAATGCACTGCTATTTGGACCTTGTATATCAGCAATGGAGTCAAAGCCGAAAGCCCACCCCCATTCCCATCCCACCCATGGTCATCGGGCAGACCCCCCTGTCCCTCACTATCCACTGGCTGCCTCCAATTAGTGGAGTTGTGTATGACAGGTGAGAGAGGCACTGGTATCTTTCTCTGTGGCATTTCTTGTGAACAAGGGGAAGGACGTGAAGTTGGGGGAACCCCAGTTTGGAACTATAAATATGCACCGCTACTCAGGGCTGCCTCCGCCACCCTGCTCAGTACTCATCTCCTGAGCAGAGCTCATGGGGCTCTCACATCAGCCAGTGGTGCATCATATGTGCCCACTCCTTGGCGAGGGGCATCCGGATGTTTCCTGAAATCACATCTGGTGGGCTTCTAGGAGCTGCGAAGGGGTTGACAAATGTGATAAAAAATGACCTGACAAAACTGAGATGGCATTTGCCACCTGTCCAGGTCAGCTGTTCCTCCTTGGTGTAAGGGTGGAGCAGGGCTTGCTACTTGCACAGTGGTGTTTGGAAGAAGGGAAGTAAGGCATGTTCCTCCAGGCAGGTCTGGGGGTGAGTGGGTGGCTGGCGACTCAAGCTGTGCATCATTTCTGTGTCCTGTTGTACCCCGTGCCTACCCCACTTATGGCTACTGTCTTGCGGAATTGTCATTATCTGTGCATTTTCCTATCTGCTCCACTACTCAACTGGCAATTCCTTGGGGTCAGGACTATTTTTTGTGTCTTTGTCTCTTGGCCTGCCACAATAAACAGCTAATTTGTGTTTATTGAAGAGAATCATTACACCTAAACTTGGTTTTTATTCATCCTTTGCATATTGGTATAATGAATACCAGGAAAAATTTTGTGGAAAAGAGAGAAGGTAGGAAAAGGATGACATCTGACAATTGGTGGGAGGATGGGGGAATGCGGTTTAACTGAAAAGGGCCAGAACCCCATCCATGACCTGCTCTCCGTTTTCAAAACCTACCACTGTGGGCTATTCGGTCCTTGTATGTGTGAGGCACTGTGCGAGGTAGTTTACCTGCAATTGTCTTATTTAGTCCTTGCAGTGAGCCCAACCTCTGCTATATAAGTGAGGAATCCGAGGCATAGAGAAGCACACGGTGGCTAGCCCAGGACACCACAGCTGGATAGAGCTGAATTGGGGGTATCCCCTGGAATTGCAGAAATGGAGGACATGGAATCGATTGTTTCTTTGAATTTAGAGCTTTCCCCTTTAGCAGGTGGAGAGTCCCTCATCTGTGTGTCATGCTTCCCTTCTGGGTGTCAGATCCCAACTAGGGAGCTGAATGTCCCTGAAGCATGTTCCTGTGTACTCCAGCTTTGCTGAAAGCCTGGGAGAGAGGACAGGGAGAGACAGGGATGGAAGGAAGCAGGTGAACCATTTTTCAAAGTGGCTTTCCCAGCCTTCTGGGATCTTGGAACCTGTCCTGGACACCTGGTGGACACTTAATGCGTGACATTACTTAGACCCCGCAATCCTATAGAGCAGTTTTGATTGTCATCGGCACCCAAGCTCTCATGGGTTCCCTCTGTGAGTCACCATATAGCTCTGTGATGTGTGTAAGAATCCTCTTCCTGCACGTGTGACCTCGTGCAGCTTGGGTTGCTCTGGCTGAACAATAGGTCCTCTGTGGGCATGTGCAGACCCGTGTTTTACATCAGTTTATGTAACACATGTAAACAATTTAATCTTTCAATTCTCTGTCTGGTACAAACGTTACGATAAAGCAGACATCAGTGCTGGCTTGCTGTGAGGCTGTTGGCAGAAAAGGCTGCAGTTGGCTTCCTTTTCTCAGTGAGGTGGGCTACAGCGCTGAGGCCTCCTGACACGTGCGTCGGGGAAACTCACGTCACGTACCCCGCGATTTGTGTCACACTCGGAGTTATGTTTACTCCTCCCCAGTAGGTATTTGGAATCCTTATGTCAGAGAGGAGCCCAACCACGCACTAAGCAGCGGCCCCGGAAGAGCCAAGTGCATCAGGGAAATGTGGTTTGGAGTTGCGTCCGCAACAGAAGTGAGCGCTGACTGCAGTCGGGGTTTGGAGTTAACGACACCTTTTGGTTGCCAAAGTACTGGACACTTGATGGTGTTTGGGAACTTGCTCAGAAGAATTAAGAAACTAGTTGTGACTTTAGGCAATTTACTTCATCCCTCTGAGCCTGAGTGTCCTCGTTTGTAAACAGGGTTCTTACAGGGATTAGAAATAATTTATGAAAAGCACCTAGTGGAACAATGCCAGGTATATACGGTGCTTAATAAATGGGAGCTGGTAGCATACTTATTACCCTTATTTAACTATACTATTTTTCCATTATATTGCAAGATTTTACTTTTCTCCCTCTGCTTGTTGAGAGACCTTGATTTGATGCCTCCGTTTGCAGATGGATCGTTCACAATTGGGCTTCCACAACCTATTTAGTGTAAAATAAGCTACAAGGATATATTGTACATCACAGGGAATATAGCCAATATCTCATAATAGCTGTAAATGGAGTATAACCTTAAAAATGAATTGCTATATTGTATACATATAACTTTTATAATATTGTACAGCAACTATACTTCAATAAATTTTAAAAAAAGATTCTAAGTATCAGAGACAGGCCTCGTCAAGTGATTTCCCCTTGTTATTCAGCTATTGTTGTCATTACCTCTTCAAGATACGGTGCTTGAAGAGCTCTTCATAGGTGTATTAATAGTCTCAAGGATGCGCATAGAACAAGCTCTCACAGAGGGACTGCTAAGGCCAGTCTGTGTCCTAACTGCTGGGAATAGAAAAATCGAGCTTGGTCTGGATCTGCTCACAGGCAAAGGAGGAGGAATGGGGGTGGGGATTCTCAACACCACAGATCAGTGCCCTACAATGGGAGCCAGAATGTACAGTGGGTGCCCAGAAGAGAAAGTGCTGGCCATCCAGAGGAGTCAGGCTAAGTGCCGCTGCAAAGGTTACATTTGCATGGGTCTTGAAGGATGAGTAGGGGCTTGCTAAACAGAGAAGCTTAGAAGCCTATTTAGCCAGAGAGAGAACAGCAGGTTTCATGGAGCTGTGTGAGGGGTATGATGTATTTTGTGAAATGGTGATTAGTTATTGTGATGGGAACATAAATGAAATTCATGAAGGGACTGAAGTAGGTAAGGCTGGAGCTATCCTCTGAAGGACACTGAATCATGGTAAGCAATTTAGATGTATCCCTATAGGCAATGGAGAACCAAGGAGTGTTACATTTCCTATGACTTTTATTGTATGTGTGTGATTAAAAGTAGAGAGTTAAAACATAAGACCACATATAACTAATACGTTTACTGTGAAAATTGTTGTCTGTTTCAGTTGGGGGGAATGCAAGGAGGCTTTGGATGACTTATTGAGAGTCAGTGTATAAGTCGTTTTATGTTGAAAGATTCAGATTGTAATTATTTTGTGTTGACTGGATAGAAGGCCTCTTTCATCTCCACAGGCCTCCTTTATGACTTAGTTAAATTCTTCTGCTTCATAACCTTGAGATTTTCATGTCACTATGAATTTTGCAAAGATGAGGTCTATACAAGAAGGAAATGAGTTGAGAAATAGTTGTGTTCTCAGTTACCCACTAAGGCCTCACTCCCCATCGCCACTCCCATGCCCCAAAGGTCTTGTGAATTTCGTTAACCCAGTTCCTCTGATCTATTTCTCCCCATCTCCACCCCTGCCCATTGTTTTCCCAGGGTCCCGGGCAGCGTGTGTGGTGCCTGCACTGAAGAAGGGACATTCCGTCAGTACGTGCACACAGCTTCCTCCCGGCGCGTGTGTGACTCCTCGGGTTACTGGACCCCAGAGGAGGCTGTGGGTAAAGGACCATGACTTTTTCATTTACACCTTGGTGGCCCAGGTGGACATGGGGGGTGGAGGTAAAGGGTGGAGCGGTGGCATGGTGAGAAAAAGGTAGTGTGTGTGCGTGTGTGTGTGTGTGCGTGCGTGTACGTGTGTGCGTGCGTGTGTGTGCGTGCGTGTGTGTGTGTGATGTGCTGGAAATCTCCAGGGCTCTGGGAATGACTCTGCCTCGCACCTTTGTGTGGATATCCTTTGTGTGCGTAACGTGCCAGTGGCTGTGGTGAAGCAGAGGGGAGCATAGAGGACAGAGGGATGGAGAACTCAGGGGGCGGCTTCAGGAGGAGCTAACTCAGGCATGTCGTATTACATGTGCCTGTCAGCCCATGAAGCAGCTTTGCCACATGACAACATGAGGTGATCTCATCCTCCCCTCTATCAGGAGGCTAATAGAGAACACGTTGCAGGGAACACTCATACACACTGACTGAGCCAGTTTGGGTGTGGTGGGGTGGACTAGGTGTTCCAAACTGATCATTCTCATCTATGCTATTTTATGAGTCTATTAATCACTGGTACTGGTTGTGCTTTGGATGTCATCTAAGCTAGGCTCTAGGAGAGGGAAAACTTTTTTAGCTGTTCCCTTTCCTGTCCCACCCCCAACTTCTCAGTTACATATTCACTCACCTATGTATAACAGTGCCTCTACGACAAAGTAGAGCATGACTGCTCCCCCAATTCAAGTCCAAAAAATGCTACTGACATGAGTTTTAGCACCTTTTGATGAATGGCTTGACTTCTTCTATCGTCACCGTCTTCAGTGTTTACCTAGTCATCACCTTTCTCTTTTTCTTATATTTATTAAGAGCCTAAAAATGACTCCGTAAGACGTGTTGGACAGGTTCCTATTTGAATTAGTTTGTAGTCTTGACTCTGATAAGAAAAAAAAGGAGAACATTGGTCTAAGAGTCTATAGCATCCCCTTGGGCTCCCAGTTACTCAAATGACAGGAGCCTTGAGGAGGAATCTGGGGGGAGACAATTGACTTGATTGATCATATAGAACTTTTTTCAAATGATTTTTCAGGGGAGAATGGAAGGTGACTATAAAATTTACATGGGCACTGAGTACGACTCATTTAGAGATTGGCATTTCATAAAAGGCCATTTTTGTGGCAAACGGTTCGTCCTGTGCTAGTGCTTTAATGCCCATTTGACTCTCTGGCACTGTACTTTTTTTCTTTTTAATTCTTGGAAAAATTTAAAGTTATCTGCTAGAGGTGAAAGGCATTAGAAATTCTGGGTTCTAACTCTTGTACGGTGTCTCCAGGCATACCAAACTTTTAGGGCCTCCACTTCATCTCTTTACATGAGATCATAATAAACTTTCTGACAGACAGTGCTGCTACTGAGTTGGCTTCCAAGGGCCTTTACTCTGCTAGTATTGGGGGATGCCTGTTGGAAAATACTGCGAGGAAATACTGGTATTCCTTTGCTTTGAACAGGTGAAGAATCAAGTCATATTTTAAATGTATAAAATGAAAGGAGTTGATTCCCCAGCAGAGCACACACAAACACATATATTTACAGATATGATCAAAATGTATTTAATGACACTTAATGGACACTTATTGACCCCCAACTACATTCTGAATGCTATGAGGAATAGAAAATTGAACCAGACATATTCCCTGCTTAATATCATCTTCTTGGAGAGAACTTCCCTGTCTCCCTGATCTAAAATAGCCCCCAGCCTCACACCATTATTCTCTAGTCCTTTATCCTCCTTTATTTTTCTTCGGAGATGACATTATTATACTGATGCCTCTTTATTTATTGTTGTACCTATCACCCTATGGTAAGATATATGTGGTCAAGGCTTTTGTCTCTCTTGTTCACTACTCTATCTCTGATACCTAGATTTGTGCTAGGTGTGAAAGAGGCACACAGTCAATTTTTATTGAATTAATGAATGAATGGATTCACAATACAGGGAAGAAACAATAGGGATCATAAGATGTAACACACACACACACACACATTTGAACTTATTTCCTCTGGGCTTTGGAACATTATTTTCCAAATCCTGAAGGGCTAAGTCATTCTATTTTTGCAAATGTAGTTTGCAAATATTTCTAAGGAACACTGTATAGATCTTCTACACTAATCTAGTAAGGCAGGGGTTAAATAGTGCTTATTTTATAAATGAGGAAATTGAGGCTTAGATAGACTGGCCACAGTCACACAGCTAATGCACAGCACCAATTACAGCCTAACTACTGCTTCCTAATTTAGCAGTTTTCTTTCAATTCCCCTCGTGTTGTAGGAGAAACCACCTCGTATAGATTATTTCCACAGAGCTGACTTTATATGTTTGCGATATTTGGTTTTTCGCCATTACATTTTTACCTGGCTACTGAATCTCCTCTTTTTTCCACTCAAGAGAAGTGTTTCTATTTCCTGCCGGCAGGTTTCCTCTGTGTAGTGCTCTACTGGCTTACAGATATTTGAACTAAAAGGGAAGTTTCAATGTATGGTTTTAAAGTTTGGCTAACAGTCCATTGGAAGGATTGCTACGGTGTGATCTTAGGGTATCAAAGAAGTTTTGTGAAAAGCCTAATTAAACATTGTAGCAACAGCCTGAAACAAACATTGGCCTAATTAGTAAATAAAACAGGGCTTCAGAAGCATTAATTTATCATAAATTATTAGTAAACTAAGTACAAATAATTCTCTTCTGCTCAAGGATTCTTTAAGGACCATGACTTACCTTACCTGTATCGGCCTCATGTTTCCAGCTAGGCTCTGGGTCACTCCATTCCGAATGCCATGCTGGATTTCCCTTGTTAAAGGGCACCAGAAAGTGGTGATTTGGAGCATAGTACTTTTGAATTGTTACACCTCTGTCTTCAGTAATACTTAAGATCTAACCTCTAAGAATTTGCTCAAAGTTCTCTTCTGCTTCATTCTTTTTTCTGGCCCTTGATAGGGGTGACTCATTTTCAGATTTTTAATGGTGATTCCTGATGCGTCTGTCTTTCTGTTCATCTCCCTCAGGGCCTCCAGACGTGGATCAACCTTGTGAGCCAAGCTTGCAGGCCTGGAGTCCTGAGCTCCACCTGTACCACATGAACATGACGGTCCCCTGCCCTGCAGAAGGCTGTAGCCTGGAGCTGCTCTTCCAGCACCCAGTCCAAGCTGACACTCTTACCCTGTGGGTCACCTACCTCTCCATGGACTCCTCCCAGGCGCTTTTTGACACAGAGATCTTGCTGGAACACCAGGAGTCCGTGCACCTAGGCCCCTTAGACACTTTCTGTGACACCCCACTCACTATCAAACTGCACGTTGATGGGAAAGTCTTGGGGGTGAAAGTCTACACCTTTGATGAGCGGATGGAGATTGATGCAGCTCTCCTGACTTCTCAGCCCCACAGTCCCTTGTGTTCTGGCTGCAGGCCCGTGAGGTACCAGGTCCTCCGTGAACCCCCATTTGCCAGTGGCTTGCCCATGGTGGTGACACATCCTCACAGGAAATTCACAGACGTGTGAGTTGGGCAGTAGGGCTTTCTAAACCACGGGGCTTCCTGAGGCTTTGGGAGTGGGTTTGGCTTCCTTTTTCTCCATTTTTTAATATTCTGATATGCCCTTATTTGGAGAAATGTTCAGACTCTCAGAGGGGGTTTTATTCTAGAGTGGCATCTCTGAGATGAACAAAAGCATTTCCCAGAAGGGGCAAGCAGGTGTTCTGACTGATGATGCCATCTTTACGGTTATGGAAAAAAAGAGGTTAGTATTTGATATGTTTCAGTTGGACTGAAAATATTAATTGCCATAAATAAGTTGATCAGAGTCAGATACTCCTACCTGGTAACACAATTTGATTTTTGATCCTTGCTTTTAAATAACTTTTAAATAATCTGCCGCAGCTCCTATACCATTCAAAGGTTACAGTCACCTCTTCTACAGCTAAGCAAGAGAAGCCAAGGGTCCTGCAGACACTATACTCTACTTTCATGACTCATTCATTTTTCTTTCCTCCCTCCCTCCCTCCCTCTCTCTTTCCTTCTTTTCCAACCCTCCTCTTTCTCTTTCTTCTGTTCTTTCTACATTTAGTGAGTTCTTAAGTGCTCTTGGCACTGTGTGCTCAGTGGTGGGGACACAGACTAAGATAAGATCATTGGCTTAAAGAGTTCAATGTCCATAGAGTAGGAGGCTGGTATCTCTAAAGGCAAATTTTCCTCACCTCATAATTTTCCTCAGAGGCTGCCCTGAGGGCAGAACTCAGGGTAAAACAGAAGTTTTATCAAAGGTGCTATATTGGTTAGTTTTCGATGCATTAGAAATCATCACAAAACATAGTGGGTTAAAACAACAAACACTATTTCTCATGGTTCTATGGGTTGGCTGTGTGTACTCACCTGGACCCGCTTGGCCAGGGCTAGGTGGCCCCAGGTGACCTCATGCACGCATTGGAGGCTCAGCTAAGACACTGACGTGGCTGGGAGGATGAAGTTCTCTTTCCCCATTGTCTCTCCTTCACTAGGAGGCTTTGCCTGGGCTTGTTCTCATGCTGGTGGAAGGCTTTCCAGAAGCAGGGATGGCAAGTCCCCAAACACTCACAGTTTTCAAGCTTCTGCTTACATTACTCATGACATCATTCCACAAGCCAAAGCAGGTCACAGTCAATTCCAGATTCTGCGGGTGGCAAAATCAATTCTATTTCTTGATGAGAGAAAGCAGTAAAGTCACATCACAGAAGGGCATGCATGCATCTGGGATGGGAAGAATTTGTGGCCATTTTTCAGTCTGCCACAGCTACAAAAGAGTAGAGAAAAATGTTCACCTTGAATTTTACTACATTTTTCCTCTCATATTAGCTCTATGAATTAGAACTAGAAAACAGTGAAATGGTCAAAAAGCTCATGCAAAATAGGAGGATAGATCATGGGATGGATTTGAAAAGAAAAAAATATATTTTGGGGGGGGTTTCTTTAGTAAGGCAATTAAAATGATATTTGTTACCTAACTTGATATACACACGTGCATGTGTGCACACACACACACACACACACACACCTGTACACACAACCTTTAAGGTCAATAATATCCCATTGTATAGATGAGAGAACTAAGGCTTAACTTTAATTTGGTTGAACAGAGCTCGTAAGTGGCAAGCTCAAGATTAAAATCCAATTTTCTGACTGAGTCTCATCTTGGTTCCCTTTCCTTAGTAACACATTACCTTTTACAAACTCAGCTCATTGGAGGTCGGGGCTACCTGCTGCTGAGTTTTCTCCACAAGAAGCGTAAACATATCCTGACGCTTCCTCCCAATCCTTTCCCAGCCACAGAGCAGTATGAGACTTTTATGCATGGCTGGATGAGAAGTCAGACAGAAACCACCCTGCGAAAGGGAAGCCATCAGAATTGATTAGGATATAAAACTGGTTTTGCTTTGGAAATATCTGGCACTCTGATGAGGAGTGCGTCCCTACAGAAAGCTAATTTGGAAATTTATGTCTTTCATATTTATGTGTCTTTCCTACTAAAATAGCTGAAAGCCAGTACAGAGGTGTTTAAAGCTGTTTTGAAACCCCACGACATTTCCTGTTTGCTTGTTGCAGCATCAGGCGAAAGAGTAGAGGCTTTGTGCTTGAGTCGAAGAGTGTGTTAAAGAAGAGAGGGTCTTGGCGGGAGATCTGTGGGCACCACTTACGGCAATCCCAACAGCCCTTTGAGACCCTGTTCTCCTAAGTCACTCCCATCCTAGCTTGACTTTAGTGGTACTTTTCCGATTAGGGCAGGCACTGGACAAAAATTAAGTTGAGGGCAGAATTTGTCTTTGGAACCAGCAACCTCCCTCTTGAGTCCCTTCCCCCTTGCAAATAAATGTTCAGTCTCTCACGTTCTCCACTTGATCAGTGCAATTGGGCTCTAGATAGAATCAGATAAACTCCTTCCATCTCAGGTGTCAATTGATAACTCCATTCCTGGTTTATATGTATTTTGGAGGTTCGGAGGTGGGGAGTCATTTAATGCATTTCCAGTTGTGGAATTTCTTGCATCCACACAATGATGATGGAAGGTGTTCTCACCTCCTTCTAGGAGAGAGTGGCTTTTCCTTGTAAGCATTCTGCCTCCTCAAGACAAGAATTCTCTTGAGAGACAAGAAAACTCTGATTCACAGACCCAAGAAGGGCCTTGCTGAGACCGAACTCTGAAACTTTCATCTTCTGTTCCTATGACTGCTTGAATGATACAGAAGACTAGGTTTTCAATAGTTGGTGGTTTTCTGTATGTGTATATATAACATGGTAAAGATACACTCGAAATACCATTCTCTTAGATTGCCTAGGACTGTGAGTTCAGTTTTAATTCAGCAAGCATTTGTTGTACATTCACTATGTGGAATGTACTGGAAATACAGAACTGAATATGGTTTCAAACATTCTGCTGTTCTGTAAGACTATATGCCCTGATCTTTGTTTCAAACAATGTGGCATATGTTTAACATTTATATTCCCTGTAATATTTATTTTAAACTCCTGCAAACCATCTGAAAAGGACCCAGGGTATGCCCCACTTCCTGGATATGGTGGTTACAGCCCATTGGTTTCCACAGGGAGGTCACACCTGGGCAGATGTATCGGTACCAAGTTCAAGCTGCAGCTGGAGCAGAACTGGGAGAAGCTTCGCCTCCTCTGAGCCACGTCCATGGAGCTCCTTACTGTGGAGATGGGAAGGTTGCAAGGTGAGGACATACTGTATGCCTGGTATTGTGTGAGGGAGGATGCCCTGCCCTGCTTGGACAAGGAGGGTTAACCTCAAGTTTCAGCTTGACTGGTTTGGGAAATGTAAGGGGCAGGGCACTATGTGATTCAAGTGTTAAACAAAATCTAGGACCTAGTAGATATCTTGAGTGGTCAATCACATCTCTACATAGCTAAGGATGGGCCCACTTTTATTTAGAGCTCACCCCAGTCATAGATATGGGGGTTGATTCTGTGGGGACCCTCTTCAGGTTTCAGAGAACAACTGCTCGGCAGTGACTCAGGGCAGGAATTCATGGTGGAGAAGGTTACTTGCCAAATGATGCTGAAGGAGGATGTGAGGATAGCTTTTGGATCAGCTGCCGGTCTTATACTACTAATGAGCTGTGTGACCTGAGGAAAATCAGTATAGCTTTCTGAGCTTCACTTGCTCATTTGATCCCTGGAAGACCTGATTGTAATGTAATTTCCAGCTATTCCATAAAATCACCAAGGTAAAAATGGAACCACTTCTTTGATTTCTTAACGTGCCATATTCATTTTTCCGTTACCCTTTAGTGACATCAGTCTAGAGGACTAATTCATTCTGGTTTGCCTGGGACTTGCCGGAATTTAGCACTGATTACTTCCGTGTCCCAGTGATCACCCTATATTAACCTGTTCTGAATGCTTATCTAACCTACTATGTTACTTATATAAAGCTGCTGGGAGTAGGAGATTAGAAGGCTAGGCACTGTGATTTGTCTTAGATCCTGCATCCTAATAAGATGACTTTTTTTTTTTTTTGCGGTACGCGGGACTCTCATTGCCGTGGCCTCTCCCGTTGTGGAGCACAGGCTCCGGAGGCGCAGGCTCAGCGGCCATGGCTCACGGGCCCAGCCGCTCCGCGGCATGTGGGATCTTCCCGGACCAGGGCACGAACCCATGTCTCCTGCATTGGCAGGCGGACTCTCAACCACTGCGCCACCGGGGAAGCCCCAAATGTCCCAGATCAAGGAAAAGTACCTTACACCTTTTTTTTTTTTTTTTTTTTGGCCACACTGCATGGCTTGTGGGATCTTAGCTCCCCAACCAGGCAATTAGGGTAGCTCCCATGGCAATGAAAGCACCGAGTCTTAACCATTGGACCGCCAGGGAGTTCCCAGTATCCTATATCTTGAAGACCTAATAGAAAGCAATCTATAGCCTTTCTTGGGGTTTCATCCCGTTGTTTAGTAATTACTAAATATTGTTTATCTTTTCAATCTTCTAAGATTCCTAAGCTTTACTGTAAGTCTACTCCTTTTCATAGAAATATAAACACCAAATGTTTGCAGACCTCAGAACTATTTCAAGCAACTGAGGTCACTTTAATACCCAAACCTTGCTAGTTTGCTGCCACCTTCTGCCTTACTCAGTCTCAGCTTGCCCCTTGTCCTCCTCCATCTCAATTAAATATCTCCCTGGGGAAGCCTCACATATGCACAGAGCAAATCTGGCTGTTGTTGATGTTCTCCCTGGCTGCCCCATTTTAAGTCTGCTCCCCTCTAGTTAAGGTGTCTGCAGGACTAGATTACCATTACTACCCAGACAGAGTCCTCCTTGAACAAAGTACTTGGCTTTTGTCGTAGCATCTCCTACAGCAGTCCTCCGATGGAGTTTCTGATGCCCCATGGTGCCGCATCTGCCTGCGGAGCTCGGGCAGAAAGAGGCAAGGGCCCTCTTCCTAATCTGATATTACACATTCTAGCCTGAGCTTTGAAACAGCTTCACCTGTAGCAACACCTGCTTGGCTACTGGGCCTCACAAGGCTCTTTATCAAAATGTTCCTTTAGACTCTGCCTGTATTCCCTCTCTGTAAACAGTCATACTTAGTTCTGCCATCCAATGAGAAGATATCTCTGAATTGCAGCTTTGTCTCAGCTAGAGGCACTCCATGACCCATGAAGCAGGAAGGAGCTGTACAAATCATTTAATCCACTGTTTAAAACGCGGAAACGTGTAGATTCATTCTAATGGAATCACAGATCCCCAAGAAGTCATCCTCAGATTCTAGTTTAATAAATTTTTATTAGAAGCTAAAAGTTGTCACTTTGGGTATCACTTGTCAGTAAGAAAATGGATAGAAAACAAAGCCACACGTAGATGGGCAGGTTTCCTCCTCACTAGATCAGCTAACTACTTTTAGGGTTCCCCTCATGAGGTTGATAGGTCTCTTCTAGTGTAAGATCATCTTCCGGAAACACTGGCAGGACCCCTGGTGGATCTCCTAATGTGTCTGAACCATGAGCTACTTTTCCTGTAAAAGCATTCTCTTAGCTCCTACTTCTCTCCAGCTTGCATTTTTAAATACATAATAAGGAGTTTTAAGAACTTGAAGTGATGGTAACCAAACAAGAAGAATCATTTTATGTATGTATGTATATAAGAATGTACACTTTTACCTTCTAGGAGCCTGGGCGAAGAGTGTGATGATGGAGACCTTTTGAGTGGAGATGGCTGCTCAAGGGCATGTGAACTAGAAGAAGGTTTCAACTGTGTAGGTGAGTTTCGAAACACCTGCCTAGGCTTATGTCCTATTTTTGGAGGGGTCTCCGTGTCTTATTTTTGTGAGCTCTTACTGATACTAACAATAACATTTGATGTGTCTGTTGTGTGCCTGGCACTAATTGTTTCACATATATTTTCCCATTTAATCCCTACAATAAATATGAGGAGACTAAACGGAGACACAGAGAGCCTAAATAACTTGCTTTCTCTTACACAGCTAGAAGTGATGACGTCAGGATTTGAACTAAGGAAGCAAAGCTCTAGAGTCTACATGTTAAACCACTAGGTCACCCTGCCTCTTAGATTAATGTTACCAAGGGTTGCTCTTGGGTCCTCATGTCTAATGTCAGACTGTCAGCCAAGTAGCACAATCCCACAGATTCTACATAAAAATTAGGGTAGGGTACGTTTTGAGCCAAAGGGAGTACAAGATATCTCTTGGTATCTGTGTTTAATAGATAAGATCATCAAGAATGGCAGAGGGTCATAACATTTCTTAATCCTGGTGAATCACTGGTAATAAATTATTACTAGGTGGCTTTGACTCTAGTCTCTTGATACACAGGAAGGCCCTCTAGAACACTTCTCCCAATTCTGATTAAAACCCTCAACAGGCTTCTTTGTAGATTATTTTTCCATTCCCTTATGCATACATTGCCATGATTCTGTGCAGTATACTCATCAAATTACTTTAAAAAGCAGTGCATCTAAAAATATTTTAATGTTTCTAAATCTCAAGGTAAAGTCAGGTATGATTATAATTATGTAGAATTTATTAAGGTATTAAATACTATACAGAACACAAAAATGCCCCTGCTCTCCAGAGCAGAAGAAAAAATTATAAAACCTTAGTAGTTTTACATCCATCCGTCTAACAAAACATGTTCAGTGCCCACCATATACCACAAGTCTAATAGAGACCCTTATCCCTTCCTGTGTCCAGCTTCCTTCCCTTATAGAAATCTACCAGTTCTTGAGAGATAGGTCTTTAGCTTTTGCTTACATGCATTTAGCAGTAAAGTATGCACCTTGAAAGAGACCATTCTGTTTAAAAGTAGCATTATCTGTTATAAAATTCTTTTCCCCTTTTCTGGTTTGGAAACTGCGACTCAGAGCATTTTAGTGACTCATCCACAGGCATACAACGAGGTCTCTACAGAGCCAGCACTGGAACTCAGCTTTCCTAATTCTTAATCAAGTGCTTTTTCCTTGCTATGAAACAACAGAGGATAAATTTTTTTCCAGTTTTATTTGACTACCATTCAGATATTTGAAATGCCTCCCCATTATTCTCCTTTCCAATCCAAACATCCCCTCATGTGATTAGGTTTCCAGACCCTTTCCTATTTACCCTAACCTGGCATGCTTCATGTGGTCAATGCCCAGAAAGGAATTCAATACTCTAGTTGTGGTCTGGCTGTGCAGAATACACTGAACCGATTACCTCCCCTCTTCTGTACACAAGTATTTGTTAATGCCACCTCTGTTTGCATCATTTCTTTCTGGTAGCACATAGTGGGCTCATCTCTCTCTCTCTCTCTCTCTCTCTCACACACACACACACACACACACACACACACACACACTGCCTTCACCAGTGCAGCTCAAGTCTCATTTAACTTTACAGCTAAATTATTTTAACTTTACAGGGCAAAGTTAGAATGATCTATTCCACAGTTAGACATTTGTTTCAGTGAGTAATATGCTCATAGTATGCTAAGGATGTAGTTCTATTCCATTATTTCTCAAAAGATTAATTTTGAAGGAACCATTGTGAAATGTGTTGTAAAAGTGGTCTGCTATTTTTTCATGGATTTGAAGAAACAGAGGCAAAAGTTTTCATAGTAGACAAAAAATAGAGAAGAAGCAAGGAGAAACAGTCACTGGATTATATAGAAAAACAAAACATGTATATGTATGTATGTTATAAAAGTATGTGATATATATTATAAAAATAGGGCTTCCCTGGTGGCGCAGTGGTTGAGAGTCCGCCTGCCGATGCAGGGGACACGGGTTCGTGCCCCGGTCCGGGAGGATCCCACGTGCCGCGGAGCGGCTGGGCCCGTGAGTCATGGCCGCTGGACCTGTGCGTCCGGAGCCTGTGCTCCGCAGCGGGAGAGGCCGCGGCAGTGAGAGGCCCGCGTACCGCCAGAAAATAATAATAATAATAAAAAATAAACATATATTCATATATACATTTATGTGTATATAAAATATGTACATACATATAAACTATACATACACATATATGTATATGTGTATATAAAGTACACATACATATAAACATACATATAAAATATACATATATATATACGTATGTGTGTGTGTGTATATATATATATATATACATATGTGTGTGTGTGTGTGTGTGTATATATATATATGGAATCCTCATGGAGAAGTCATTCCAAATACACATATATTGGTTTTAGGGGAGTGACTTAGAAAGACCATGGCTTTAATGGAATGCAGGAGTTTAAAACCCAAAATAGGCTTAGAACCAAGTCCTAGGAATAGTGGCTTATTCCTGGCAAGTAGAGGTAGATTTACCACAGAAGGGTCTTAGACTTGAAATTATTAAGGATAATAATTAGTAACTACATATTGATGAGAAGCTGAAAAATTACTGGAACCGTCTTGTGGTATTTCTGTGAAGAATTTAAAATAAAAAGAATGGTATAGTAACAGTTAATTTTAGTGATGATGTTACTGAGTGTGTACCTATGTGTTGATTTATTTTAAATCTTGATCTTATTTGCATGTCCTATTATTTTAAGTAGAAATGAGGAATTAGAATTATGTTACTAATATGGGTAGAAAATGCAATAGTACTTAATAAATGGCTTTATAACTGCATCTCAGCTTTTTACATTTGAAGAAAGCTATTTTACATATCTATGGTTAGTACAGACTATTCACTTAGCAGGAGTTATCCTATGAGCAAGTATGGACTTGTCCAGGGGATACAGCTTGCTTTACAAGCCCAGCGGTTTTTCTCACATATTCATTACTCACACATTTGCTCTTGAAGACAGTCCTTCTGCCTTGGCTTGAGGCAGTGTGGAGTAAGAGAGAGCCCCCGAACCTGCCTTGTGTAAGCCTGGCTCAGAGCCTAGTGATATTGCTTCTGCATCAAGGGAACTTTGGCGAGTCACAGTCACGGAGACTCAGTTTGTCTATTGATGAAACAAACAAAAAATACATACCTCACATGGTTGTTTTAAGACTAAAAGAAATAATACACGTGTAATCCTTATAAACCTGGAGCCCATTTGTCCATTTCAGAGCAAGTTGCATGGTTAGTTGAAGAAACACAGCAGCAAAAATTTAATTGAAAACAAATCCCTCAAATATTTTATTTAATATTTCAAAAACTGTGAAGAGGATTCAAGTACATAATACATCCTACCATCTATTTAAATTTCCTTTATTCTTTTACTTACTTCTCTTGTATCCCCATCTTCCCCTAAGTACCTTGCTCAATGGTTCCTTAAAATTTCTTTCTATATCCAGCCCACAGCTGTTTTTTTTCTCCCTGCTCCTTCTCCCCCAACCCCACCCCCTTTGTATACTTTTTATTATATAAATGGATTTTACCACTCTCCCCATGAAAAAGTATCCTTCTTTTTAGGTGTGTGTGTGTGTGTGTGTGTGTGTGTGTGTGCGTGTGTTGTCTATATATTTGGGGTGGGCATTAGACGAGTTGGTAATTACAGTCTTCTCTTTAGCAGGCTGGAGAAAAAAAGGTAATTATTTTTACATGACATGTATAAAAACACTTTTTCAAATGTCATACAAATTTTTCTTGGCAGGGGAGCCAAGCCTGTGCTATATATATGAGGGAGATGGGATATGTGAACCTTTTGAGAAGGAAACCAGCATCACAGACTGTGGCCTCTATACTCCCAAAGGATACCTGGATCAGTGGGCTACCCAAGCTTATTCTTCTCACGAAGATAAGAAGAAGTGTCCTGTTTCCTTGGTAACTGGAGAACCTCCTTCCATGGTAAGTTAAGCCAGAAGAATAGAGTCAAGGCTAAACAAAATTGTGAAGTGATTCCCCCAGATACTTAATGTGAGCATACATTTTTTTCTCCTCACTTTGACACCAAATTTAGTTCTTAATGCACTCAGAATAGGATAATGTTAAATGAAAAGCTTCTAGACTAGCAATTAAATCTCATCCCTCACCCTCACCCCACTTACATTCACTAGTTTTCATCTAGGAACCTTTGACTATGCAATAGCTGACTTCAAGTTACACAAAAGCATCTCAAAATTAGTCTTAGAATACACATATCAGAAATTACACTTGGGCTTTGTGTTTGGGAAAATTTATTTTAAAAGAAGAAAAAGAAGCAGTAAAGAGTCAGAATACCCGGATAACACTATTGGATCTACCAGTATTATTATGATTATTACTAAGTCAGATTTGACATGTCACTTAACCTCTCTGGGCCCCAATTTTCTCATATGTAAAATGGGTATAATAATACCTTTTGCATTTAACTCAGTGGTTTATTACAAGGATCAAATGAAATTTAAAATATGTATTAAAGATCAAAGTATAATTTTTTTATTTTTTTTTGCGGTACGTGGGCCTCTCACTGTTGTGGCCTCCCCCGTTGCGGAACACAGGCTCCGGACGTGCAGGCCCAGCGGCCATGGCTCATGGGCCTAGCCGCTCCACGGCATGTGGGATCTTCCCGGACCAGGGCTCCAACCCGTGTCCCCTGCACTGGCAGGTGGACTCTCAACCACTGCGCCACGAGGGAAGCCCCCAAAGTATTTGATTTAAATAATTTTTATTATTAAAGAAATTTGAGAGTGAGTACTAAAAACAAATCCGTAGGTATACAATTTTCCATGAATATCTACCTAAATAAATAGAAGATCTTCTGAGGACTCTGAGGACTGACTTCTATGAATCATAATTAAATACCTAAAAGAAGATTAAGGGCTTTAGTTTTTGGATACTATTCTAGATGTTTCCATTGCCAAATAAACTCTTTCATTCATTATAACAATAAGCAATATAGTCATTTCAACAGAAGTAAGATTTAGCTCTCTAGGTGTATTAGGTCAGGATAGAATTACTGGAGTTTAGCCTTGAGGAGATACCCCCAGACGATTGAGGAACCAGCCAAGGTTGGTGCTGTGGTTCAAGGAACTCATCAAGGACCCAGGGGTCTTTGAGATTTCACCTCTTTCTATCCTTGGCTTGCAGCTTTCTTCCTCAAGCTCATAAGATGACTGCTGTTCCTCCAGGCACGAAGTCATTATTTCAAGTGGGAAGAAGGGGAAAGGTCAAAGGGAAATATTCATACGTGCTAGCTGAGTCTCTTTTTATTGGGAAAATGGGAGCTCTTCGGGAACTTTGACACTATAGGCTTCCACCAACATCTCATTGGTCAGATCCAGGTCACTTCATCATCCTTAGTTGTAAGGGACCCTGAGGAGATGAGCATTTATAACTTGATACATTGTCACCTTGAACAAAATTGGAGTTTGATAATAACAAAGAAAGGGGAGGGCTTCCCTGGTGATGCAGTGGTTAAGAATCCGCCTGCCAATGCAGGGGACACGGGTTCGAGCCCTGGTCCGGGAAGATCCCACATGCCGCGGAGCAACTAAGCCCATGTGCCACAACTACTGAGCCTGCGCTCTAGAGCCTGCGTGCCACAACTACTGAAGCCTGTGCGCCTAGAGCCCGTGCTCCACAACAAGAGAAGCCCACGTACCACAACAAAGAGTAGCCCGGCTTGCTGCAACCAGAGAAAGCCAGTACACAGCAACGAAGACCCAATGCAGCCAAAAATAAATAAGTAAATTTATAAAAAGAAAAAAAAAAAAGAAGAAAGAAAGAAAGGGGAATGGATATGGATAGGCAAGTAGCCATGCCTGCCACACTCCTTCAGCTAATTCTGGCATCTTTCTCAAGAGTTCTGGTGCCCAATGACAGGAAGCCCAGAAAACTGGGAGATTCTGAGTTAGTGACAGCTCTCTAAAGTGGCTTTTAGCCTAGCCTGTCTGTCTTCCCACAGTGAAGTGGGAAAAATTTCCTGGATTTTCTCTTTCCTGGTTCCTTTTCCCAGCTTAGTGGTTCCCTGATTCAGTAGCCTCACTTCTGGGGCCAGTGGATCCTGCCTGGTAAGGATCTAATCATCATCCTGGACAGACTTCCCTAACTAATCCTAGGAGCAGTTGCCTGAAATGTGCCAGGACAATTCGTTGAGCAAGATCCTTGGGTCATCAGTGGGCTGTGAGTTGTCATGTGTACTCTTCTACCCTGATAAAGTTATATCTTGAGGCTGACAGAGAGCACTGAGACATTCTTCTACATTGAGAAAAGTTTTCTGCCGATAACGTGATCATTAGGCATTCAGAAAGAGAGGAAAACTTTGGTTTCAAGCTGGAGAGTTTCATTGTCTTTACTTACCTCTCACCCTCCACATTTAATTGTTGGTTGAAATTGCATTTCAGATTTGCACATCATACCGTCCAGATTTACCAGAGCAACGTCCACTTACTGGCTGGTTTCCCTGTGTCACCAGTGGAAATAGCCCTCAGGATGAAGGGAGTAAGCAGCTAAAAGGTAGCCCGGAGAGAGAGGATGAGGTTTGGCTCAAAGTAAGTGGCCCAAATGGATTTTTGTGAAGGCTGTGGATAGATTGTGCATGTGTGTGTGTATAAATGATGCATTGGAATGGCTTGTCAGGAGATTTCCTTTTATCATCGCAAAGTTTTTACATCTTGAATTTATTTTCATCTCTCTTTGAATGTTGGACTTTTCTTTATAAGCAATCGTTTTATCAAAGTATAATATACACATAGAAAAGTACAGAAATGCACAGATCAATAATTTTTTTACAAAGTAAACATCCTCTCTAGCCACCACACAGATCAAGAAACAGAAAATTAACATCACCCCCCAAAAGGCTCTCTCATTCCCCCTCTCATTTATTACATGACAGAGGTATCTACTATTTTTACTTCTGCCACCATAGATTAGTTTTGCCTGTTTGCATTTTATGTAAAAAACTTTACAGTAATGTACTATTTGTGTCTGATTCTTTCTTACTCAACTTTATTTGTGGGATTCATCGTGCTGCTTTACTTAGCAGAAAAGTTCATTTCCATTACTGTGTAGAATTCCAGTGCATGAATATGTCATACTTTATTTAACCATATTGATGGACATATAGTTTATTTCTAGGTTTTCTGTACTGTGTATTACAAATAGTTCTGCTATAAACACTTCTGTACATTTCTTTTGGTGAATGTATATAAACAATTGGGTATATTTGGAACTGCTAGATCATAGTTAGGCAGATGACCAGCTTTAGTAGATAATCCCGAATGATTTTCCACTTGGTTGTACTAGTTTATACTCCCACCAGAGGCCTATGAGTATTCCAGTTGCTTTACATTTTCACCATTACTTGATATTTAAAAGTCTTCATTTTGGCCATTCTGTTGGGTATGTAAATGTACCTCCCTGAGGTTTCAATTTGTATTCACATGTTGACTAATGAGATTAGGAGACTTTTACATGTATATTGGTCATTTGTAGTTTCTTCTTCTTTTTTTTTTTTTTTCTTTTTATCTGAAGGGCATATTAAAGTCTTTTGCTCAATTTTCTATTGGACTGTCTGTCATTTTCTTCTTAATTTATATGATTTCTTTACAATTTTCTGAATGTAAATCCTGTTCCAGTTATACGTTATTTAATATTTTCCAACACTCTGTGGCTTACTTATTTTTACTCTTAATGGTATATTTAGATGAACAGAGTTCTAAACTTTACTAAAATTCAAATTATCTTCCTTTTTCTTCATGGTTAGTGCTTGTCGTGTACTGTATTTAATAGTCTTTGCCTACCACAAAGATATACTTTCCTATGTTATCTTCTAGAAATGTTATTGTTTTACATTTTATATGTAGGTGCACAATCCATTGGAATTTTTGTGTATTGTGTGAGGTAGGGATCAAGATTTTTTCTCCCTAGACCTAGAACTACCATTACTCAAAGTAAAATTTTCTTTTCCCCTCTTTGCTGCACTGTGTCACCTTTATCGCAGATAAACTGGCAATATGTATGTGGAGGTCTGTTTACTGTGGAGATTCTACATCTTTGTTGTATATCTGTATACAGACTGATCTGTATATCCTTGCATCAGTGTTACACTCTTAATTACTGTACATTTTTTATGAGTCTTAAAATCAAATAATGTAAGCCTTAAACTTGTTCCTTTTTTTCCTGATTGTATTGGCTAATCTTGGTCCTCTGAATTTTCATATAAATTTTGGAATCAGCTTCAATTTTCACACATAGGAAAAAAAAACCTGATGCAATTTTGATTGGGATTTTACTGAATCTCTGAGCCAATTTGGGGAGAGTTTTGTCTTTAAAATACTGTCTTCTAACATTTTCTTTGAGTTACTTAAGTCTTTAATTTCTCTTAATGTTTTATAGTTTTCTGAGAAAAAGGGAATTGAATTTTATCAAATGCTTTTTCTGCATCCACTGAGGTGCCCATATTATTTTCCCCTTTGTTCTGTCACTGTCTTGATATACATTGATAAATGTTTAAATGTTAAATCAACATTAGATACCTGGGGAAAAAAATAACAACTTGGAGGCTATGTATAATCCTTTGCCAATAGTTTTGGATCCTATTTGTGAATATTTTAAGTGTTTTTTTCATTTATATTCATTAGAGATTGGTTCCTACTTTTTTTTTTTTTTTAATTTTACTATCTTGTCAGGTTTTATGATGAAGGCTAGGTTTGACTCCCAGAGTAAGTTTCCTTTTTTCACCAGTTTTTTGGAATATTTTGTGAAAGGTTGATGTTAATTTTTGAGGAATTCATCAGTAAAGCTATTTGAGTCTGTGTTTTCTTTAAGGAAAATATTTAAATATGTGTTAAAATTTTAAAACAAATATTGAAAAATTTGGGTTTTTTATTTCTTCTTAGGTCAACTTTGGTAAGTTGAGTTTTCCACCAAGTAATTAGTCCATTTTTTCTAAAGTTTTGAATTTATTGGCATTAAGTTTTTTGTAATGTTCTCTTATTTTATTTGTAATATTTCCAAGCTCCCCAGGACTTTTTTCATTTATGCTATTGTTAATTTTTGCCTTCTCTCTTTTATTTTTTTGCTCAGTCTTCCTAAAGATTTATCAGTTTTATTAATCTTTTATTAATGTTTTTATAGAACCAAAGAATATATATGTATTCTTATATATATAAATATACATATATGAACATAAAAGGAAGGAAATAATGAAAATAGCATTATTTCCTTCCTTTTATGTTTACACTTAACTTGCTCTACTTTTTCTACTAACTTGAGATGATGCTTAGATAATTAATTTTTAGCTTCTTTCTTTTTAAAATATGTGCATTAAGGCCACAAGTTTCCTTCTAAGTGTGACTTTAGCGACATACTACAAGTTTCACATCTTATTTCTGTTATCATCCAGTTCAAACATATTTTCTAATTTTTATTTGATTTATTTTTTGATCCCTGAGTTATTTATAAGTATGCTGATGAACTTCCAAACATTTATGGATTTTCTGGTTACCTTTTTATTTTTGACTTATAGCTGGAGTCTTCTGTGGTCAAAGATTATATTTGGTATGGTTTCAAGCCTTTTAATTTGTTGACCCTTGAATTACGGAATAGCATCTGGTTAATATTGATAAATATTACATGTACTTTGAAAGAAATATGTAATCTAAAATTATGGGATATAGCATTCTATATATTTAACATAGATCAAGTTCATCCATCATGTCATTAAAATTTCCTATATCATATATATAATATATGATATATACATATTTTCCCTGATATTTTGTATACTATTTCCATCAGTTACTGTGAGATATGGGTCAGACTTTCTTACCATAGTCTTGAATTTGTCTGTTTCTCTTATTTTTGTCAGTTTTTGATTTATATATTTTGAAACTATATTATTAAATATGCAGGCAATTCTCACTTTGTAGTGTGGGACCACAAAATGACCATGTATCCTAAAACTATACAAAGCAAACTCAGTAATTGATGGGAAAAATTATAATAGTTACATGACACGATATTAAAAACTCTCTTATTTTCAGAAATACATGTGAAAGGAAGTGAAAAAATAGTAAATTTTAGTTCATTATAATTTAAAAAAACATTACAAACAGAGAATTAAAGTGTTTCATTTCTTTGTTTAAAAAAAAAGAAAACTACCAAGTATAGTTTGAACAGTGCTTGCCTTTTTTTTTTTTTTTTGCTTCATATGACTTACATTACAAAGCAAGCAGTTTTTCTGTGCCTTTGTGAATTGTCATATTCCTTTCTAAGTTTGAGCAGCTTCCAACATTTTATAGTACTTTGCACTTTTAATGTTATGGAACGTCTCTGAGAGTTCTTTTAATGTGAATTTTTTCTTGGCATCATTTCCTCTGGGACATCTTCATCCTTTTTGTCACAACCACTTTTCTCATTTTTGCTGATCATTTCACTTTCACTAAGTTCCTCTGGCTGCAAATCCAGTCTCTCAAATGGCAGCAGCATCAGCATTCCCACACTCAGCTCTTTCGTCTATAACTCTATTTACCTTTATCTCAAATTTCACCTCAAGCATTATAATTTTTTGTTTCTTTGCTGTACTTTCATCCTTGCTGGCTGATCCCCTCTTTTGATTATCCATGTTTGTGAAATGTCATGTGGGTAAAATGTCACTGGGAGATGAGGCAACACAAATGCCCACTTTTCTGCCTCTGTGTGAACTGAATAACAGATACACAGTAAACGATCAATGACAGTTTGAAAGAAGTGATGTAATTGGTCACTGATCATGATCCTCAGTTGTTATTTACATGGTGATTTGTGGATGGAAAGACTATTAATGGAGTTTGTACTTTCTACAGTTACAATTATTTTTTGGTAACTGAAATTTGAATCATATCGTTGGGACTCTGGTATTATATAACTAAATTGTGATAACTGATATTTTTGTATATGGAAACTGTGTAAAGTGAAACTACTGTCAGTAGATAATTTTAGAATTTTTATATCTTCCTGGTGGATTATCTCTTCTAACACTAAGAAACGTCTCTCTTTATCTCTAAGAATATTTTTCTAATAGATCTTTATTGGAGTGTAACTGCTTCACAATACTGTGTTAGTTTCTGTTGCACAACAAAGCGAATCAGCCATATGCATACACGTGTCCCCATACCCCCTCCCTCTTGAGCCTCCCTCCCAATCCTCCCTCTCCCTCCCCTCTAGGTCATTGCATAGCACCGACCTTATCTCCCTGAGCTATGCTGCTTCTTTCCACTAGCTATTTTACATTAGGTAGTGCATATAGGTCAATGCTACTCTCACTTCGCCCCAGCTTCCCCCTGACCCCAGGTCATCAAGTCCATTCTCTATGTCTACATCTTTCTTACTGCCCTGAAAATAGCTTCATCAGTACCATTTTTTTAAATTTAGATTCCATATATATGCGTTAGCATACAGTATTTGTTTTTCTCTTTCTGACTTACTTCACTCTGTATGACAGACTCCAGGTCCATCCACCTCACTACAAATAACTCAATTTCGTTTCTTTTAGTGACTGAGAAATATT